ATATTTTTTTGGTGTAAAATGATTTTAAGTACTCATATTCTTCTTTATACTGAGAAGATAAAAATTTCTCTCTCACACAATAATTTGAGAGAAATTCTAGGAAACTTCAGTAAGGCACAATGCTATTAAACACTACTCAAAGTTCAAGATACTAAAACGGCAGTATTCTGAAGTTTCCCAGTTAGTCAAGAACATGACTTAAAAAAACAACAACAACAAACTCTAATATTGGTTATTCTGTCATCCTTTGTCTTAACTCTTAGATTAAATTTTCTTATCTCAAAAGTCCTTTTGAACAGCTGTAAGCTTCTATTTTTCAAAGGTTTTATTACAAGTCACCAAAAAATTGCATATCCTCCCTCTCTCATGAGATGGAAACAAGAGATAAACATGTTCTAAGGAGAAAAATTATTTTATCCAGAGGCTCCAGTAAATTATTTCTCTTATCAAAGTCTCTGTGGTTTCTCTAATGTTATACTTAGCTTAGTCCCTAGTCTGTGGTAGGTACTAGCCACCCAAAGATAAAATGGTACAGTTTCTGCCCTGAAAGATCTCACAGTCTAGTGGTAAGAAGAGACAAGAAAGTCGGCAAGTTTGACACAGAATGACATGTGAGAATGCAACTGAGAGCAATCTGCCCAAGGTCTCATGGGAAGATAAAGGGAATTAATCAGGTGAAGCCCAGAATTGGCATGAGAAGGGCTATAAGAGATGGGTTGGGGGAGGAGGTGAATAGAAGGGCTCCTGAGAAGTATTTTAAGATATCAAAGATGTGATGGAAGTTTTCCTACAAATATTTTCAAGTTGATTTTCAGTTCCTTGTGTCCATCCATTTTTAATTGATAATTTCGATCCATCTGTGTATATTTAAATAAAACACTTGATTGGATAGGTGTAAAAATCATAAATGCCTTACCAGGTTATTGCTTGAATCTTACACAATATGAACAAATGATGGTGTTTCAACTGCCTGTTTTTTTTTTTTTAACTAACTAGTATTTTCTCTTTTTTTAAATCTTTTATTGTTTTTTATAAGATCTGTATTTATTTGAGAGAGAGAGAGAGCATGGGGGAGGGAGGGTCAGAGGGAGAAGCAGATACCTGCTGAGCAGGGAGCCCGATGCGGGGCTGGATCCTGGGACTCCAGGATTATGACCTGAGGCAAAGGCAGTCGCTCAACCAACTGAGCCACCCAGGTGCCCCATCAACTGCCTGGTTTTACAACCATGATCTTACAAGGTCATTTCCTATATAATTTACTTTGCACTAAATTTGTATTTCATTTTGACACTAAGGAGGGAACGTATAGTTTATAAAATGGTTTCATGTCATGTTAAACACTTTAAGATGCTCTTTTATTTATTTTTACTTTGCTGCCAAGGCACTGATTTCCTCAGGAGCTTATGTTCTCACATTCATGTAATTGAAAAACATCCATTAAAAGTCTTGGTCTAGGGGCGCTTGGGTGGCTCAGTCATTAAGCTTCTGCCTTCGGCTCAGGTCATGATCCCAGGGCCCTGGGATCGAGTCCCACATCGGGCTCCCCCTGCTCAGTGGAGAGTCTGCTCCTCTCTCTGCCCACGCCCTGCTTGTGTTCCCTCTCTCGCTGTCTCTCTCTGTGTCAAATAAATAAATAAAATCTTTAAAATCTAAAAAAGTCTTGGTCTAGAGAGGGAAGAAGTCTCCTTGATATTTGAGTTTATGGCTTCATTGTTTCAAACTAGCAATGAAGGGGAAAGTGCTCCTTTGAGGATTTGTTCTTGAGTTAAGAAAGCCCCTGGGTAAGATGTTTTTCAGATTCTGATGGCTGTGAGTGGTATTAATATCAAATAATTTCAGATTTGACATTGTCTAATGAGACCACTGAGTTCAATTCTCTTTTTACATTTGAACGCACCAAGATGCACAGAATTCAAGTAAAGTGACCAAGGAAATACAGTTAAGTGTAACAAATTACAACAGGACCAGACACACAAAGAAGTCTTCCACTTAGCCTAAGTGGATTGATGTAGGAAGTATTGTGCCCTCTCTGGGTCACTCATTGAAAGATGATCTTTTAAAAAAAATAACTCTTAAGCACTTGCATGATTCTATTTTCATTTCTGGTATATGTAGCCTGCTTGCCACTATACTAAATAGATGAAATAGGTCACTCATCTAGAATTTCCTTTGAACTGAAGGGCTTCCGGGACGCCTGGGTGGCTCAGTCGTTAAGCGTCTGCCTTTGGCTCAGGTCATGATCTCCAGGTCCTGGGATCGAGCCCCGCATCGGGCTCCCCGCTCGGCGGGGAGTCTGCTTCTCCCTCTCCCTCTGCCTCTCCCCACTGCTCCTACTCTCTCTCTCTCTCTCTTTCTCTCTGTATCTCTCTGTCTCAAATGAATAAATTTGAAAAAAAAAAAAAAAAAGAACTGAAGGGCTTCCATAAATAAATTTATGCAATGAGATAGAAGGGAATGCATACAGAGACAAAACCTGGGGACAAAACTAACCCCAAAATAAAACAAGTTGCTCAATTTTGAGTCATGCTTTTGGAGTGCTACTTCTCTCTCCTCTCCTACCTCTGTTTGTAAAGGCAGTTCTGGTCCCCTGCTTTCATGGTGGGTAGTTGATGTTAGTCTTTCTCGTGGCTGACTGAGGTGTTAAGGAAATGGGAGGATAGACAGTTATTGGATCTTTCAGTTCTGTTCTTTCGCTTCTCTTGGGAGTCTGACCACTGGAGGGGGCCCTTCAACTGCCATACCTCTTTATTTCTCTTGAAAGGTTTGTCAGTTATTTGTAAAACGTTCTTTTTTGGTTGGTGTCACAAGTGTTTGAATTCCCAGAGGCAGTTTTGATTTTCCACCAATGCACTGCATTATGAGAATCTGGGTTCAACAACCATGTCTGTTCATTGAAATTTCCTTAAATGACCATGGACTTTCTTGTTTTAATTAATAAAAGGAGCGAACATGTGCTGAATATTGACATGTGCGGGGTGGTGGTGTACCTCACATACATTCTCTCATTTAATCCTAGCCATACCTCTGCAAGATAGATATTGTTGTTAATCCCAGGAGTTCTCACAATTTAATAGTAACAGCGTAGAGCCAAAGTTAAACCAAGGATTTGTTGCGTCTAATGTCTATAGTGTTACCGCTGTGCTGTATGCATGTCCCCCAACACTCAGCACGGTACTTTCCACGTCGTAAAGTTTTCACTAAAACAATCGAATTGAATGGAACTGAATCCATGTACCAGCAGCCCATATTCAACGCTCACTGTCACAGTCAGAAATTTAGAAATAATCGGTTTCGCAGTGGGAGAATCAATTATTACCCTGAGACATTAATTTGCTAATTATTTCTTGCCACAGAAGATACCATCTGATCATCAATCTTCTGCATCTCATATGCTACACAAACATTTCCAACTTTCTTAAATTATTAACCTTGATCTTTGTGATATTCAGGAAACATTAAAACAGAAAAGGGAATAATATTATCAATGACCCTTCTGCATAATATGGTGAACAGAGTGAAATACGAGTTATTTTTATTTGGAAAAACAATATTACTCTGTTTTGACTCAAGGGTGTTAACATTTTTAGTGTTAGCATTAATTTGTTTTCTTTTGATCATACAATTATTACACTTATTTTCCTTAGTGAAATGGAAAAACATCCCAATTGCCAAATGCTAATGATGTGTTCATAGTCTTAAAATGTACATCTCATTAGGTTTCTGTTTTTCAGCTGGTAAATTTTATGAAGTCAGTATTTGTTTCTCTTGGGGAATTTTGCTTGGTATTTTAAAGATACACTTACCATTTCCCTTAGGTCACTTGTGCCAATATCTGTCCTTAATTATCATAGCAACAAAAGTTTTTCACTTTGTAGTCTTATGCAATTCAGATGGATCTAGCCTGTCCTTCCAAAAACATTAATAGAATACCTGCTGCATGTTTTTTCAAAAAATATTTTTTGTTCTTCATCCTTGAAAGATTATGTTTATCCAAGAAAGTCTATGACTTAATATGAGATTTATTTTATGCTTTTTAAAAACTTTAACTTGGACTTTGATGTTAAGCATCCTCAAGCAGTAGTCTTGTTGTGATTATTTTAATATTCAAGCAAATAAAAACAGCTGTTTATGGTATCAATAATTGTGTTTCTAAGAAAATATAAACCTGAGCTTTATTCCCCTTTTGTAATAGTGCCCCATCTTTTCTATCCACAGGACACATTAAACTAAAATGTTAAGAGGACACTGAGATTCTCTCAGATTCTTCATTAGTTGGCTAGATCTCCCACAGCAAAATGCTGTGAAGAAGCAACGTTCATCCATTTATTTTTGTTCTGATATATTCAGAAAAGTGCTAATACTAAAAAGTTTAGATCTGAATTTCATACCTTACAGTGGCTTTCAAATACATTTTCTTCTGATTTGGGTTTACAGACCTCTTGTTGGTGGTATTCACCCATTTTAAAGAGAAGGACACAAAAACTCAAAGTGGGTTACCAGTCTGAGTTCACCTAGTAGAGTCACAAATTAAACCTGGACGTTCTGATCACAAGCTCTTGTAAATAGCTCCACTTCACTTTCCATGATTAGATGCCATGAAATGAAAAAAAAAAAGGCAGGGGGAGGAGGAGTAAAAAACTCTTAAAGTAATTTAAATTACAAGCTGTAGTGGCATCCCATATTCAATTGAAAGGCTTATAATATATTTTTAAATGTATATAATATATACACATTACATATTATGTATAATGTGTAATTTATTATATATTTTAGTACATTATATATTCTTTCAGTATATTATATATAAGATATATATGTGTGTGTATATACACAAACTATATATAGAGATTATATAGAGATTATCAAACTTTCCTATTTAAGGAGTTTTTTTGAATGTGGCAAAGACACATAACCCAACAGAATCTTTCAAACTGGTCACCTTGGAAATGATAGACAAACAGATTATTGTTTCAATATTGAATCCTTTACTTTGTTCACAGCTGCAAACATTTTTTGAGACATTCCTGACAGCCAGTTCACCTCTTCAGGCTTTTGATAATATGAAAGAAGCAATTAGCAAACTCTTGCTAGCAGCTGAATTATTCAGCGAACCATCTACTCTGGGACCAAAGGCCTTCAATAGGTAAAAACCAATGCTAATATTAAAAAAAAAGAAAAAAAAACCTTCTAAAAATTACTAGTGAAAATATTTTTAATTATCACAAGTGTGAAAATATATCTTAATTATCACAAGTAGGTGGTACTTGGAAAATGTTATGTCAGTATATAAATATGAACTTGTAACGTCTTTTCATATTTATAGATCCTAAAACTTCAGTGCATGTTACAGACTTGTTGGCATCCAAATAATAGTGACAAGAAATAAAGCACACATTGTTTAAATTAATTTTAATTGCATCTCTTTTTTAAGCTTAGCTATTTTTATCATATGAACTTTGCATTGACTTAGGTATAATTTTACTTATGGACCTTATTAACAATATTCAATAGCTACTATCTCTATACTTCAGTTTACTTGAATATAATTTCATGCCCTTTTTCTGGGGAATGTTAAATTTAGAATGTCAACAAAAAGGAGATAACTCAAAAGTAAGCTTTATCATGTTCCATATGTGAATAAGAATGCCTAGCAGTAAGGAGTAGGAGAGTTTCCTTCTCCGTATTTAGGTTTCCATGAAGTAACTTCATTGTTTAATGTGTTATGAATATTCTAGATATATTTGTATTTTTTATGAAGAACAAAACATATTCCAGTTTAAAAATAAATTGCATGTAATTTCCAAGTCACTGCTCTTTTCACTTAGTACAGACCTTGAAATTAACTCTAGTAACTGTTAATAATGTATCAGAAGATAGAGTAAATGTAGCAAATAGAATATATTTTTATATTACCTTGTGTTTTTATTTCAGATGCAGATTATGTTTTCAACTTTTCACTTTTGATATTGGCTACTACAGTTTTGGGTACCCCGTAGTGCTCCAGGTGAATATCCTGAAGGCTTCTTGTGAGCTTCCACCTTACACTGAATGATCGGGGCGGGGTGGGGGCGGCGTATATATGTGTATGGGTGGGTTGTCTGCATTCATAGGAACCAGTCAATAAATAGCAACTTGTATTAAATTCACTACAGGCTTATATTTTACTGTAGTTCAGAAAATTACCTAATACGTGGAGAATCTATGATTTGGGTTCCAATCCCCACTATGAATCACTAGAGAACAGGCATGGATTTTCCTATGGATTAATCACCACTGTTTATGAAATAAAGTGGAAAACATGTAGATAATAGAAAATAGAAGATTACCCAGCTTATTCACTTGGGTTTATAAAAATGTAACTCATACTTTACATACAGATATTTAGTTTTAAATTGGCCTTAAAAAGCCATGGGAATTTTTTAAATATATGGTTTTTTTCTAGTATAAATTTGTGTAAATTGAAGAGTGCTTTTGTATACTCTGATTCTTTTACTTCCTTTCGAATCAAGTGAACTTTATCTTTCATCTAAAATATCCCTTAGTGGCAAGATTAAAAAGCAGTTGATTGAATAAATCTACAGAAAGCTTTATTTTGAGATATGGAGTAGGAAGAAGGGAAAGGAACAAAATATAATTATGTGCAACCAGAATTCAACTTCATATTGCATTGACTGCTTTTCAAACTGTTGTACAGGTGAATGATTACAATTATATATGGCTCAGACATTTAGTTGAATAGCTCAAAGATTTATCCATAAAATTATGAAACTTCATAAATCTACATCTTTAATCATTTATTCATTATCTTGCACACATCTCAGTTTGTATTATGCTCTTTGAAATATTACTGCTGCAGCCAAGGTCAAAGATGTTGCTGCCTGTGTTCTCTAGGATTTTGATGGATTCCTGTCTCACATTTAGGTCTTTCACCCATTTTGAATTTATTTTTGTGTATGGTATAAGAAAATGGTCCAGTTTCATTCTTCTGCATGTTACTGTCTGGTTTTCCCAGCACCATATATGTTAACTGACTTGAATATAAATACAATCTAAAAATAGTAAAAAATAAAATAAAATAAATAAAATAAAAATAAAATTTATTGTTCGGAAATGTCATATGTTATCTTTCCTGAATGAAAATTCTTCAACAGTAAAGAGTTTCAAGATAAATTACTGTGACTTTATAATCCATTACTTTTCATTTAAAAAACTGTATCTTCAAAAGAACATTACTTGTATTTTATAAAGCTGTTGACCTCCAAAAAGGCCACTAGATGTCAGTTCTGATCTACAATCCAACAAGAATGAATCATGTCTTAGAACTGATTTCACTGCATTAAAAGTCAACGAAAAATATTTACTGTGCTTTTACTCTTTCACAGGTGCATGAACATTTAAATTTTCAAGATGATGATAATATGGATTTTGAGGACCAAAATACAGAAGAATTCCTTTTACAAGATACTTTCAATTTTCTCTTCTCTAATGAATCTTCACTTCCAATGTTTTCTGAGATATTTCAGGGACTTTATAGATCAGGTGTTTTTAAGGTAAGTGTGTATTTTTTAAGTGACAGATTTCTTTTTCAAGTCATTCTTTGAAAGGTGCCATTTTCTTTATTGTGTAGCTAAGCAAATTGATAATGCATTTGAAATGAATTGGTATCCATTATATTACACCTTTTTATATTTTTCTGACCTGAAGCCCAAGACTATTTTATGTCAACTAAGTATGAGTAACGGACTGTGATGCAGTGATGGGTTAAAATAAAGAAGTTCCTAACTCCTAAGGAATGTTTGTGGATATTATGAATAATACATATTAGATGTTATTTAGAATACTTTAAAAGAAATAGTAGAATTTTTTGGAGGCAGTCTAGAAGAGCAGTGAGTGTTCTAGATTGACATCAAGGGACAGGAGTTAGAATACTAATTTTTAAAGAATTCACATCTGGTTCACATCTTCGCTTAGCTGCTGCTGATTAGGGTGTAGTGCTTCATAGTAGCATTGGTTAATTTTTATGGCGTGTTAAACAAGTTTTTTTGATGCATCAAAATCTGTACAGATGATTAAGTACAGTATTATTCTCTATGTACCTTTCTGTTTTAAAACCTGTGTTTGGAGAATTTGGGAGAGTGGGATGTGAAAGTTCTCACAAACAAACTTTGATGCTCTATGGAGAGTTGTTTGTGAGAAATAGAACATGACTTTATAGACTGCTGTTTCCTCTGGATTTTATTAATTTTTTCATCTAGTTCCCTGTTTTCCTTCATTAGTGAGTGGACTATCATTAAAACCGTTAGATCCACTTGATCCAGAAGTAGTGGTAGGTATGTGCAACTTCTCCTCTCAAGAATACCTCAGAAAAAAATGGATGTGAGGAAAAATGGGGCAGGGGGACTGTTTATTAGAATCCACAAACTCCAAAATTTTAATGTCCCATAGATGAAATTCCCCTGTTCACCTGCTCCTCTGATCTCTGGTACCCTGAAGGCTGAAGGAGATGCTTCCTACATTCCCAAATTGTCACACACAGTCTACCCTCCTGGGCTCATCTCCCCAACCTTACCACCAATGCCCTACTGAGCAATTCCATTCAGGTCCTCTTTGTCAAGTATGAAATTTTCTTAGAGCCAGACACTGTTGTGACAAGCTGAAGTTACTATGCATGATTTGGCATTAATTAGCTCAGCTGTTTATTGAGTTTAAACTTTGATTGGTTTATAAAGTGGGGGGCAATTGGACTAAACATGATTTGATTTTGTAACAATTGCTTAAGAATTGTTCCCCTCCCCTCATTATAGGGTGAAAACTATCAGAAGGAACAAAACCAATGCCTGTCTTTAGAGGAGATCAACTCAATTATGACTTTCACAAAGGAACTTGGGAACTTGGGGCAATTCAAACTGGTAAAACAAAAGTGACATTTGATTCCTCATGATTACTGAGCTTATAAATCAGCCATAAACTATTTGATTTTTGCTTCAAACTAGGTGAAGATTTTTCTTTAAGAAAGAGAAATCTTTGTAAGCTTTTTTCTTCTTTTCAGACATCTAAATATTAAAATGAGCAGAACCCATATTCTTTAAGAGTTTGCAAATAATACATGACTTATTCAAGGTAAAAGGATAAAAGATCAGCATAGCTGCCAGTATATGACTGTTCTGAGAGGGAAAATGTCCACATTTTACAAGAGAAGTTTAGCTTTTAACTTTGAGACATGTGCGTGGAACAAAACTTTCTTTCTGCTCATCGTGCCCTTTTTGTTTGTGTAAAATCAAATATTACTGAATGTAACCACATTTTAGAAAACAGCCTAAATCTAAATTTGTTGCAACTCTATAGCAAACTTCAAAGAAAGAAAACGTAAATAATTATGATAACTAGGCAAAAAAACAAAAAAACAAAAAACCTGACATTTGTTTTCCCTTCTCTGTATTTTCTTGGGTTCTGTGAATTTATTGGTCAATATGGAAGGTCACTATCAATATAATTTATTACATGTATGTGTGTATGTTCAGTACTTGCTTTGTTTCTAGTTCTGCCACTTATCTAGATGGACTATAATAGATTTCTATTTTTCCACTTAAGATTTGCTTATACAAAATACCTTGTTAAAACAGCATTTTTCAAAGTCCACTGATAATTTATCATTAATCTGTTTGGATCAGACATTTATTTTTTACTTAAAAAAATAGCATGTATTCACATGCTACTTGTCTGAGTTATAACCAATTTACTAAGTTAATTAATGAATGTTTGGCACTTGTTTCTATAATTTAGACTTCTATTTTAGAGGGTTCAAAGTAAGCTTTTGCCCCAAAGATAATAATTTAATTGATGGATTATTTTAATTAATTTAAAGATAGTATTATATTTGTCACAGTTGGCTCAAAACTCCACAAAGATAGAGAGAGAGGTCTCATTCCTGAGGAATTCATAATTTGAGATATTGTGAATGTAGAGAAAGTCTCTTGGCACAGTGTGAAAACTGAAGAATTATTTTGCAGGAAAAAGGACAAACCCCAATTTCCTGACTCTCAGAGTAGAAAGAGGATAACCATAGATTTTTTTCCATAGGATTAATATCTCTCACCCTGACAAAGTTCACTTGTAACCCCAAATGATTTCTCCCCATTCTTCCTACTGCCTGAGTCACTCTGTTATTCAGCTGTTCTCAGCTATCGATAGGAAGGAAATAACCATTTTCATTCAAAGAAAAGAGAAAGAAAACTCACCATGTTTGGAAATATGATCAACAAAATTAGTTCCTGATAGAAAGTGGCATTTACCTTGACAACTGCACAGAAAATTATATTATGATACTGACCATTGGTTTTTAAATAAATATCTGATTTTTTTAAATAGCTGAATAAAATAGAAAGCCTTTTCTAGTAATGATACCTTTTAAGTTATTTTCCATAACTTATTCTGATATTCTGGTTTTGAATATTTCTTCTCAGCTCTTTCCATCTACTACTCCTAGGATTCGATCTTTGATGCGTGAATTTTATGATAGGGCAAATCCTGTGGGACGACCTGGTTCAATCCTGACTCAATGCTGGTCTCTTATAAATGTATTTGAACAGTTTCAGCTCCTGAATAAAAAGGCACAGCTACATCCACTGGAATGGTAAGATAGCCACAAATTTGAATTGTGCAATCCAAAAATTCTCTAAAGATTGATTTCAAAAGATTTTGCCTACATTAAAGAAAGCAACAAAAAGAAATGTGTCCAAATATTTGTGCTCTGGAAAATAAGTTTCTTTAAAGCACTGAAACCATAACAATCCTAGTGGTCTTCAAACACTGTAATAAGAACACATCCAACAGTTTTTTATTTTATTTTTTATTTATTTATTTTAAAGATTTTATTTATTTGACAGAGAGAGATACAGCGAGACAGGGAACACAAGCAGGGGGAGTGGGAGAGGGAGAAGCAGGCTTCCCGCCGAGCAGGGAGCCCGATGCGGGGCTCGATCCCAGGACCCTGGGATCATGACCTGAGCCGAAGGCAGACGCTTAACGACTGAGCCACCCAGGCGCCCCATATCCAACAGTTTTTTAAACCAATAGGACTTGACTCTACTACAGAGTAATGTTTAAAATTAAAAGTTTCAATCTCATTTCATTCTGTGATGTATGTCCTTGAATTATGAGAGCATCAGACAGAAGGAATTAGGTGACTTTTTTTTTTTTTTTAATGAACCATCAGTCAGCATGGAGCCCAAGATGGTATGATCATTTATTTAGAGAGTGTTTTTTTTTTAAAGATTTTATTTATTTATTTGAGACAGAGAGAATGAGATACAGAGAGCATGAGAGGGAGGAGGGTCAGAGGGAGAAGCAGACTCCCCGCCGAGCAGGGAGCCCGATGCGGGACTCGATCCCAGGACTCCGGGATCATGATCTGAGCCGAAGGCAGTCGCTTAACCAACTGAGCCACCCAGGCACCCTATTTTGAGAGTGTTTGAGGCGTGACTTTATTCTGGGCAAAATCTAGCCAAATTTCCAAATATGTCTGTCCCTGCCACAAGAATAGAACTTTTCTTTTTTAGAAGGTAGAATCTCAGAGGGAAACATTTGACCTCCCATTTCCACTTCCGTTCTAATGAGAGGTGGTAATGAGGGGATGGGAGAGAGGATAGGCCAAGGTGAATATATTCACATCTCCTGTCCTTGTTGAGAAGGAACAGGGCCCAAGGCACTGGCTAAGTCGCCTTCTCTTTTATATGATGGAATTCAGGGAATATTTGACTTTTACTGCCAGGAAAACAGAAGCAAACCTAAACCTCCTAGGGAGATGAAAGACGAAAGGGCCATGCCATAATCATTTATGTCTCTTGCAGTCCCTCTCAGGAAGGAACGGCTTCGGTTCTCCTGACTTGTCTTCATTTCCCTCTGCCTCAGGAAGTAAGGAAAGCATTTCCATAAGAATTTTTTTACAGTTCAAAAATACAAATAATCGTATATTTGAAGAATTCTTAGGACATTTCCCAGGATCAGAACTCACTTTAATTGCCATGATGTTATGAAGTTGGCCTTATTCCCTCAATGCTCAGAAGTAGTAAGCCTGACAGAAGCCTTTATTTGTTTGAAAAGTAATTTCAAATAACAGAGCTCAATGCCCATTTGTTTGTTCTTCGCCCTCACTCAAGTCATTCAAATCTGTCTCATTCGTCATTATCAGTGGGGAATAGCAGACTTGATTTACCAAGGAGCCAATTTAGGTACTGTTTTTAACTTTGACTAAATTCCCTTGAGATATACAAGTTTTGGAAAATGTGTTCCCCAACAGTTTTTCTCAAGCTCCATATATGGTGTAAGGTTAAGGAAGGGACTTTTCCTAAATTCAGAATACTGCATTTAACCCAAACCCTAAGCCTAACCCTAACTGATTCCCTTTGAATAAGGGAGTTTATTAGTGGTCAGTGTTGAAAGTGGTCAGTGTAGAAGGGGTCAGGACTTTCTTGAATCAGACAGACATGGATTCAAATATCCCAATCCTAGAGTTAATTAATTATAGCAGCTAAAGTTTTGACACCTCTGAGACTCAATCTCCACATCTGTAAAATAAGGATTATACTACCTACCACATATTACTTCACAAGAATTACATAAGATAATTCTACATGGTATGTGGTATGCTGCAGTGCAAGGAGGTAGTAGATATTAATAATTGGCTTTTCACGTTTCTCTACCATCCTAAGGTCACTTTAGGATCTACAGTGGAGGAAACATTTTTTCTTTCTTTTGTAGGAAAAGCAAGACAAGTTCGAAAGATTTATCTAAGTTAATACTGAGAACATTAAATTTTAGATCTTTCTCAAAAAGCAATTAGGTAAATCACTCTGAGAATGTTCCAAGAAAGAATACTCAATTCTAATTATCTTCAGATTTACCTGTGAGTATATGTATATTTAATTATCATCCTGCTTGTTACAAGGAGGATGCATATCATACACATTTTCCAGATGAGGAAACCATGCCGAGAAGATGGGTCATTTGCTCAAGCCACACAACCCAGAGAAATAGAGGAGGGATTAGGACCCTGGCCTCACGTCCAAGGTCCACTGCTTTATTCCAGTATAGCCTGTAGACAGAAGGTCAGGTGTAGTCATTGTCATTGTCCTTATCTTCACAATGGTCACCTCCAGCTTTTTCTATAGAAAAAGCCAATTTTACATACCTATGCCACCTGTGGGGATTAATGACTTCATGCTTCCTTTTATTTTTTAAAATTAGTTATTTATTTAAGTAATCTCTACACCCAGTGTGGGGCTTGAACTCACGACCCCAAGATCAAGAGTCACCTGCTTCCCAGACGGAGCCAGCCAGGTGCTCCCATGCTTCCTTCTAGATAAAGATCATTTGCTTAGAACAACGAGGTGATAAGAGATAAAGTCAGAAAAGCAATGGTCAGAAAAAGCGACAGTGATGTATGTCTGTGCCCTGAGGCTTAGAATCCAGAGGTCCCAACAGAATTAGTGTAAATCTGAACAGAATGAAAATATTAAAATCAATATTTGTGCATCATCTGCTAGTTTTCACTTTACAAGAAATAAAGTTGCAAGTGTACTTTGCTCTCCTCATAGGCTTTCCATGAAAAAGTCACATTTTTAAAAACAAATAATTTATTCACAAAATCGCATAAGGAATTGCTTCAGGATGCTTAACCATACAAAGCATCTTACTCCATTAAGATAGTAATTCAGTGTATGTGCATTTCAGGGATTTATCTTTTATGAGCTTCACTTAGAGTTTTTGCTTCACATGAATTCAGAGATTTTTTTTTAATTTGGCCTGGCACCCAGTCAACCTTCATCTAAACATATCTCACCCCATGCTTGCTTTATCTGTTTCTTCATTCCTTGGGAGAAGGGAAATATTTTAAAGTAAGTCCTAGACATTTTTTTTCACCGCTAAATACTTCATCGTATGCATCAAAGAAAGAAAAGACTCTTTGCAAGTAAAACTGCAATAAAGTTATCACACCTTCCCACATCAGCAATATTTTTAATTCCTTGATTCTTCGTAATTTGCTGATGTTTCTATTTTGAAGGAACTGAATATGCCTATTCATCTCCTCTCTACCACAGTGCCCAGCACAATATCTGGGACAATAAATATTTATAAAACGTAACTTAACACAGAGCATCTGATTTCAGCCTCATAGCATCGCTGTGAAATCAGGCCAGTGATATTCTCTCCATTCTGCTGCAATGGAAATGGAGAAAGAATCAGAGTACAACCCAGGAAAGTCCAACCACATCCTGCTCCGTATTCTCCGTCATCAAGACCAGCAAGTTTTTGGTCTGCAGTTTAGATTATTTGGTCTCAACTTGGAGTTCAAAAGCGATCTGGCCAAGCACTTAGTTACACAACAGAAAAACATGAGGCAAACACACCGAGAGGAACTAACCCTTACCATTAAGTACAGTTAGTCAGCATTTGAGGAGAGAAGACGTGGCAAAACATAAGTCATTTTCTGCGTAGCGCCCTTACGTTTCCTAGATTATGTGTATGTTCTTCTGAGTCTGTGTCTCAGACTTTCCAGGACTTCTTGCTTCAAGACTGTGTGATTTTAGCCAAACAGATTCCAATAAGAATGTGTGTTCCCAATTCACTTCTGTTGGACCCAGGCTATCAGGGACTGCTCACTTTTGGAAGGAAGAGTGACTTTTTGCCCTGCTTTTCTTCAAATGTGCTTCTGCTGATTAGAGATGATGAGATTTCCACCCACCTCACTTGAGGCCAGATTGCTAGTCTTGAGGAATGAAATCCAGAAAGTGTTTCTTTGTGTTCATCAAAATATCTGTGCCCACACAGAAAAATAAAATAGTGCATTAGATGTAATTTCCATGAATTTTGTTCATTTCATTGATCCAGACTTGTTTGGCATTGCATTTGCAGGCATTCTTTCACAGAGGATGAGAACATTGAAAAACCACAAGTGCCATTTGATGCAACGAGAAATAAAAAAGGTAAAAAGGTATCATCTCACTTCTTCCGACGTGAAAATAAGTGTTGTGTGGCCCCCAAAATATATAAGAAAAATGTTTAGCTTCATTAGCAATCAAAAATGGAAGTTAAACTAGGAAATGCTATTTTCCCTCAAATTTGAAAAGATCTTTCCTCTTAAAGATCATAGAGTTGGGAAGAGTGTAGGGAAATAAGTATTCTGCCACTGGTGCTGTTATAAATTAGAGCAGCCTTCCTTAAGGGGCCATGTAACAACACATAAGAAAATCCTTAAAAGTTATTCTTACAGGGGCACCTGGGTGGTATAGTCAGTTAAGCATCCAGGTCGTGGTTTCTCCTCAGGTCATGATCCAAGGGTTCTGGGATCGAGCCCCATGTCAGGCTTAACACTCAGCTCAGAGTCTGCTTCAGGATTCTCTCTCCCTCTCCCTCTGCCCTTCTTGCACGTGCTGTCTCTCTCTCTCAAATAAATAAATAAATCTTTTTTAAAAAAGTTATTCTTACATCATAGAAGTCTCACTCCTGGATATTCATTTTAAGGAAATAATTAAGAATGTACACAATAGTTTAGTTACATAAGTTACTAAAAATAAATTTAAAAATTTGAAACTACTTCTATTGTAATAATAGTGAAATGGGTAAAAAAAATAAGCCATAGACTTCCAATATAATTCTAATATTTCAGAAGAATATTTATGACATGAATGATGTTTATGGTGTGTTGTTAAATGAAACAATTGACTATAAGCAACATGGGCCTCAAGGAACATCAATGGCAATTGTGATTTTCTTTCCTAGACTTATCTCTACTTTTTCTAATTTTTTCTTTCTAAAGAACATCTGAGCTTTTGATCATACAAAAAGAAAATGCTTCTAATTTTAAGAATAAAAGATGAATCATGGAACACTACATCAAAAACTAATGATGTACTATATGGTGACTAACATAACAATAAAAAATAGAAGTACCACGTGTCTACAACTTTTTAGAAATCAAAATTTTCCTATTACAAATCAAGGTTTAATACAATAGAGTGGTTCTCAGCATATGGTCCCTAGACCAGAAATATCAGCATCACCTGGGAAATTTGGACCATTCAGATCTACTGAATCAGAATCATACCTCTCTGTGTATGAGGCCCAGCACTCTGTATTGTAAGAAGTCCTTCAGATGATTCTGAGGCATGTTAAAGTTTGAGAACCACTGATTCAATAGAAGGAATTGGTAAGCCCAGTGAAGAACTGGTGACAAACTGCTATTCTGTGTCTTTCTCACTCCCACCATTTTTCTCTTTAAATAAATGATTAAAGCACTCTGAGTGTTTTTATTCATTCCTTTGTTCCATCAGTATTTAGTAAGGAGATTTTTATTTTTTATTTTTTTATTTTTTATTTATTTATTTGAGAGAGAGCATACAAGAGGGGGGGAGGGTCAGAGGGAGAAGCAGACTCCCAGCTGAGCAGGGAGCCCGATGCGGGACTCAATCCTGGGACTCCAGGATCATGACCTGAGCCGAAGGCAGTCGCTTAAACAACTGAGCCACCCAGGCACCCCTTATTTTATTTTTTTAACTTGTGTTATGGATTCTTTTTTTTTTTACATTTTTTTAATTTTATTATGTTATGTTAATCACCATACATTACATCATTCGTTTTTGATGTAGTGTTCCATGATTCATTGTTTGCGTATAACACCCAGTGCTCCATTCAGTACGTGCCCTCTTTATTACCCATCACCAGGCTAACCCATCCTCCCACCCCCCTCCCCTCTAGAACCCTCAGTTTGTTTCTCAGAGTCCATAGTCTCTCATGGTTCGTCTCCCCCTCCAATATCCCCCCCTTCATTTTTCCCTTCCTACTATCTTTTTTTTTTTGACATATAATGTATTATTTGTTAGGTTGTAAAGAGATTTTTAGATAGATGTTTGGTTTACTTTAGAAACTTAAGAGGAAATGTCAGTGGAATCAACTGGATAAAATTTCTGCAATTCTAATGATTTGGGATATTATAGTCATAAAATCATGGAACCTTCATAGAAGGAATCTCAACATCACCCCCAGGCAATGGATGACATTTGGACCATTCATTTTTCTCCCCTAATATTTTCCGTTTCAAGTAATCATTCTCCTGAGATCTGAACCAAAGAACTTCATTTGTTTTACTGTAGCTTTCAGTTTAACTAAGAAGGGCTTTCTGGTATAAGAAAAGTTAAACAATAAAAAGTATGCTGTTCAAGATTACTGAATATGTATTCCTTTTATTTTAATAGTTTTCATTTTAAATTAACCTTTCTTTTTTTTAGCTGCTGTTCCACGAATCATGAATGAAACCAAAGAAGTTCATTGCAGTAATGGTGAGTTCCAATGAAAGTGTTTCAGTGGCATGATCAATAGCGAGGCATAGCCCAGCTTTGAATAAATCACCATTTTACCATATTTGAGTACTTTTAGACTGTAATGTATTTTAAGTAAATTTTTAGAAGTTTCTGAATGAGTTGATATGTCACTTTTGCATAAGAAGAACATCTTTAATTTTCTATTTTTGAACATGAAATGTTATGTTTATGTGTTTGTTTGTTTAAGGCCAGTGACTTTCAAACTCATTTTGAGGGGTCTTCAGGGTGCTAAGACTTTGCCTTGGAGACTGCTCAAGTGGATAAACTTGGCTTATTTGCTTTATACATCAATTTTTAGGACTCACACCACCCCACAGGGATTCCTTTTCTGCCAGATTGTTGACATAATGGATAGTACTTGAGTTGATTTTTTTATATAACAGAGAGTTTTTAATCTGATTTTCAGTTTATTTTCTTAAAATTCATGATTTTTTTTAACTAAGGTATGATCAAGAAAAATGGCATGTATATAATAATACATTTCAAGTATATAGATTTTAGGATTTAAAAATAATTTTCTTTACTCTGGTCAGTATTATTCCAGTGGCCTTGAAAATATATAATTCTAGAGAATCTGACTGACCTTTCCAAGATCACAGGGCTATTAAGTGCCTGAGCTGGATCACAAAGCTGGATCTTCCAATTCTTTGTCTAAAGCTCATGAATTATCTTAATACTTTATAACAATATGATGGAAAAATAAGAGTTCTACTTAGCAGGTTTGCTTTTTGACCATGTATACATACATACATACATATATATATATGTATATAGTGCTAAAACATACACTCAGAAAATTCACCCTTTCACGAAAAGTCTATTCCAGTAAAACATAAAAGCTGGAAAAAATAAAATTTATGGACTAAGGTTTAATTTATTATAAATAAGAGTCTTCCAGTTTAATAAAATCTAATTTGTATCTTCTAAAATGCAATTTAATTCACTCATTATGTTTTAACAGTATCATTAAAATCTGGGTAGACTGAGAGGTTATACAATAATGTGGTTTAATAGAATCAACAAGTACATCCAATTAAAGAAAAATGGCATTTTAAATAAAGTATTGCTGATCAGGAAAAATAACAGATATGACTTCTGCTGTTCCTTGCCTGCACTTTTCATCCAATCTCTTCCTCCTAGAAAAATACATGCACCTCTTGGGATACTGGTGCCTAGGTTAGAGTGGGGAAAGGACTAGGGAGGAAACCTGGAGCAAGACGAGAATGCACATTTGTCAAGTGCTGGGCTCTGGGATAGATGCAGCACCAAGAAAGTCACTTCACCTCTTTGGTCTTCTATTTTATGATGTATAAAATGAAACAACTCTATGGGGATCATCTCACTTTTTTTCCATTCCCGGGTAACCTGCTGTAGAGGATGTGAACATGTTAGATAAGCTCTTCAGCTTAGTTCATATTTTTATGTTGATAAAAAACTAGTCCTACCTGGGTCTGTATAATTAATCTGCCTACTTTCATGGCATGAGCTAAGATTTAAAAAATAACTTGATGATGCCTCAGAACAGGTGGGATCATCCTTCAGAGTCTAGGCTTTTCTCGTGTTTAATATGAGTTACGATCATCCCTCAAGAGGGCAATAAAACTCTGTGGTTAAATGAATCCATTAAAAGCAACCAAAACTTCAAATGGCTTTCCCAAATACATTTGCCAAATAGGCTAAGCAGCCTGCTACCACCATAGCTCATGCTGGGTTCTCCATGGATCTGAGGTAAGCTGGCCTGAGGCGAGTTGGCACTGGGCTGGGAAGGATGCCAAGGAAACTCCAGGTGTTTGTTGGCAGCAACACTGATGATTCAAGGGAAGATGATATCAAGATAGATCAGCTTTTAAGCAGGGCTTTAGGATGCAGCACTTAAGCCAGAGTTGGAGAGTTTCTGATGAAACCAAAAACAAGCGCTTGCTAGAATCTTGCTTAAGAGAATGATTATGCATTATGTCTCGTGTGGGGCTGCATTTCAGTGTTACAATGGGCAAGCCCCACTGGAAACTTTCACTGTTAAGTGAAAGTGTAAACTGCAGGGAAATTAACTCTCAGTGACTGTTTTATAAAAATATGCCTTCTTAAGTTAAAGTACATCTTCTGTGGTTACTATTTTGAAAAATCTTCTACTTCATTATTCATTTAACTGGTTTTGAACATAAAAGTGTAATGCAAGTGTTTATATTCCCTTTCTACTTAGGAAACGGTCCTCTCAAAAGCACATTTTGTATCTCTGGACTCCAGCCTGTTTAAAATGTTATGTTAGGTTCACAGTCTCCATTTGAGTCAGATCTTATGACCAACAATAGCCTGTTTTTACTGTGCTTATCTCAGTCTTGAACATAGAATGTGCTGGAAAAAAAATTTTTTTAAATGAATACATTATTAATAAGTAGTTGAACTCAAATAAAAAGCTACGGTCCTTTTCATGATGAAATCTAATAATATAATCTTGCCCTCATTCTTTAACTTTTTCTCTTTTATTGTAAAAATTTCAGGAGTTGACAATGATCGTCAAAATTATAGACGCAGTCTACCTACAACTATCAGCCAGATCAAATCTTTGGTAAAAAGTACAATCAATCAAATGGGTCATTTATCCAATTCCCTCAGTTGTTTAACCAAATTGACTAGTTGTTTATTTTTTACTAAGACTTTTCCCTACAATGAAATTACAATATATCTTTTGTATTATTACTTGTTCCTAATTTGCACCTGGATAGTTCTTTCTTTTGTCAGCCGAGAAAACTATAGAGTGTGGGTCAGAAATACACAAGGTTTTTTTCATTTTCATGTTCAGCTTTCATTTTCACACGTGTATGATAGTCGTACTGAGACACAGTTCTCAGAACTGGAATAAAATATCCATAAAGTCGGTGGCATCCACCGCCATGGGTTTGGAGGTATGTCTCCATGTCTGTCAAAGAAATATAAAATGGTTGGCCTTGATAGGTCACAAAGTCCAGGATGGAATGGGAGATGTGACTGGAGAGAGGAAGATGAGGAAGAGATTGTGAAATGCCTCTTCTGCTTTATTCGGAGCTTGTGCTAGATTTTGGAGATAACGAGAGACCATTAAAGAATGGAAGCTGTTGCAGATCTGATTTTAGAAACCTCACTGTGATAGCTGTATATAGATAGAGGAAGGGACATGGTTCAGAGGATCATGGACTTTCTTTAAGTTCAGTGTATAGCTTCCGGCAGCGAATTCTGCGTTATCTGTTTTGTTGCCATGTTGTTAAACATCATTTAACATTTTATTTAAAGGCAATAGAAGGATACTTTCATTTTACAGATTTCCATAGAATCCACTGGAATTTTGTTAACTACTGAAAAGTATTTATGGAACAAAATACTAATATTTCTTTGAAAAACATTTACTAAGCTTCTTTTGAGTAATGTGTTTATTCCAAATATGTAATCAATATAATTTAGTAGTAGCTGGTATATATGCCTATAAATGCATTTTTCTTTTTCTCATCAAGATACTTCTGTAAAAATTGGGCTACCACCTAGAAATACATTTTTAGAATGGCTTAGAATCAATGGTGTGAAGTAATATGCTGAGTTCTACAGCAGGATTGAGGAGAGTATAACATTTCTTTCTCATACTTTAGGGCACTTTCTTGGGTTGGGGTGACCAGGGCAGGGAGGGGGGTCTCAGAATATCCTGCTGCTGTTTTTGTATCTGAGTGTTTGGTAAAATACTGGATTTTACGTTCTTCACCCTACTGCCTGTAAGCTACTATATCAATTCAATGGCAGTTGAATGACCTTCCCTATTAAGAAATTTTCCTCATTCCCTGCTGGTGCCCTTCTGTTCCCACTTCACAGAGTCATCACCCCCATTTACCAGTTGCTTGATAGATGCAATAAATGCCACGAAAATGTTATCAATCCACTGGTGAGACATTTTCCCACCTTCTCACCACCTTTAAACTTTTAAGGGCTGAGCAAAAACTATCATCTATATAATGCCAACTAAAGTCAACAGCTGTTATATAAGGCAAGCTCTACAAAATTTGACAAATAGAAAATCCAGCTGAAGCCACAAATCAAATATAACCAGAGTGCCAAGTGGAAAATCAGCAATGATTATGAAGGTTGTTCAAAGGATTAAAAAAAACAACAACAACCTTAATCATATATGCTTTTTAAACATCTATCCATTTCACAGTTGTCTTTTCTTTGCTATTGTTGTTTTATTTTAACAGATGACACACAATGTTATATCAAGCAGATCCTCACACATCCACATTTGGAGCTAAATCCTGAATTTAACCCAAAGATCAAAGATTATTACTCTGAAGTCCCATTTGATGTGGTCACAGTGACAATTGGAGCGGAGACTTCTAAGTGTCAGTGCAAGGTGTACCTGCATGATCGGGCAGGACCAAGGTACGGGGAGATGTTGACCAGGGCTGAGTGGAGACATCATAGTGGGAAGCAAATATCTGAAGCAACATTTGAAGGTTGAGAAAAGCTGAAGTGTCAGATTAGTTGGAGAGATTGCCAGGGTGTCATGTGGTAAAAATTTTTTCTTTCCTTCCACTTTTCAGGTGTCATGTGGTAAAAAAAGGACATATCAGTGCTCTACTGATCTGTTAACAATCTTCAATTTCAAGTTTTTATTTAAATTCAAGTTAGTTCACAGATATGGTAAAATTGGTTTCAGGTGCAGAATTTAGTGATTCATCACTTACATATAATAACACCCAGTGCTCATCACAAGTGCCCTCCTTAATCCCCACTGTTTAGCCCATCCCCCACCCATCTCCCTCCATCCCCAGTTTCTTCTCTATAGTTAAGAGTCTCATGGTTTCCTTCCCTCTCCTTTTTTCCTTCCTCTATGTTCATTTGTTTTGTTTCTTAAATTCCACATATGAATGAAATCATATAGTATTTTCTTTCTTGACTTATTTCACTTAGCGGAATACACTCTAGCTCCATCCACGTTGTTGCAAATGGCAAGATTTCATTCTTTTGATGGTTGAGTAATATTCCATTATGTATATACCACATCTTCTTTATCCATTTATCAGTCGATGGACATTTGGGCTCTTTCCATATTTTGACTATTGTGGATAGTGCTGCTGTAAACTTTGGGGTGCATGTATCCCTTCAAATCAGCATTTTTGTATCCTTTGGGTAAATACCTACTAGTACAATTGCTGGATCATAGAGTAGTTCTATTTTTTTAACTTTCTGAGGAACCTCCATACTGTTTTCCACAGTGGCTGCACCAGTTTGCCTTCCCACCAACAGTGTAAGAGGTTCCCCTTTCTCCACATCCTTGCCAGCATCTGTTGTTTCCTATGTTAATTTTAGCCATTCTGACAGGTATGAGGTGTATCTCATTGTGGTTTTGATTTGTATTTCACTGATGATGAGTGATGTTGAGCATCTTTTCATGTGTCTGTTAGCCATCTGTATGTCTTCTTTGGAAAAACATCTGTTCTTGTCTTCTACCCATTTCTTAACTGAATTATTTAGTTTTGGGGTGTTGAGTTTGATAAGTTCTTTATAGATTTTGGATACTTTGTTAGCAATGTTTGCATCTAATCTTTGTCACAGCGTTGTGACAAGAGAGGATCTTGTGATTTGAAATATTAAAGAGACTCATTAAGGGTAGCTACCTTCTACCATTTCCCAACTCCTCAAGATTTTGAATATTCAGGGGTTGAACAAATATTTTGGTGACAATTTATGGACATACTAACACTAATATTCCTAGTCTCATGGGATTTTTTTTTCTATTAACTCTTTTGAGAGTCACCAACTCTTTTGTTTATAATTTTGAACAGAAGATAGAACTGTATTACATACCATGTTCATGGCAAGGAACCTCCCCCCCATGCTGTGGGTAAGGAAATGCATTTGGCATCCCTGAGAGCTAGGAGAGTCTAGTAGAAAGAAAAGAGAATTCAAGTCAGACCAACCTGGACACCAGCCCTGACTCTACCATGGGACTTTAGGCATAGAGTTGATATATTAAATGAGATAATGTATGATCCTGAGAAGTGGTTAATAAATATTAGTTTCCTTCCTGGTGATTGCTAGAGGACATGACTTGCTCTGCAAGATAATTGTTGGCATACCAAATACATAATTAAGTTTTTTTTCATATTTTAAGTTTCTTATGAAGTTGTGTAGACCTTATCTTCTTTTGTGTACAAATTATAGGCATTAAATAAATATTGATGTATGAATCCATCATATATCAATATTTATTTATTCGTATGGACATATGAATAAATCTCTCTCTCTCTCTTTCTAGCTTTGCCAACTACCCTCTGGGTTTGGGAATGAACAAAATCTCAATGCTGGTGGTGGATGAATCTCCAGCACAGGGGGAGACCCTGAGCACGTATAAACTCACCATCTACAGAGAAGACCGTCCAAGTCTGCCCTTGTTTGAAGACTTCACAGCATGTGGTTTTGTGCAGGTAAGTGAATTCTACATTTGCACTCGGGTTGAATTGGGAGTGATCTGTTAACCCAGGTGAAAAATGCCAAATGAAAATTGTTAGGAAAAACATGTATGCTTGCAAATCCAAAGTGTGGTCTCATTTCCAAAGAGAAGGAGTCCCAGGCAGTTATGTGAGTTACCTTGTGAGTATTTTTCTTTGTAGTGTGGTGGCTGCTCCCTACACTTCCTGTGCTCAGTGGACTTTTTGTGCTTAATATTGAAAAAAATGTCTGAGTGATCACACTGAGTTATAAAATTGATTTTACACTTGAGTTTATATTTCCATGTTAAATTGTGCTGTGTTTCTTGGATTTGTACCTGAATCTACTCTGAAATTTTAAATGAGGTTCAGTGGAGTTTATTTTAAAGAATTAGAGAAAAATTTACGAAGCTATTTCATGGATGGGATACCAGATGAATGAAATTACATTTGCTTGAGTAGATTTATTTTTCCTGCACTTCTTGTATCTTAATCATTCCTAAAGGCCGTAGTTTCTCTTGTGACCACCACATACCACTTTGTAGCCCTGTTGATCTTGGAGGGTGAATGTGACCCAGAGACTTTGTCTTATTTGGTGGTTCTTTCCTCCATTTCTTCCCTTTGTTAGGATTCCAGGTATAACCTTCTACATTTCCTCACATCATGCACCCTCACTATAAGTGCTTCTGGGGAAGTAGTAATTGATGTTAGCATATCTCCTATTCAGCCAGAAAGCATAATTGCGAATATGTCGTGTTTCAGTGACTGATAACTTATTGGGAGCATTGAAGCACAGAGGATTAGTAAGAGAGAGAAGTAGCTGACTGAGTCTCAGTGAGGAGGATGAAAATGTAATGGCCAGATAAGTATTCTCTCCCCCTCTCCCCATTATTTGTCAGAGTGTATTTATGCTCCTGCTAACTTGGCCTGATCACTCTTCTCCATATATGCTTCCCAATCTGGGTGGTGGTTACATCCATAACCAGGTGGTGTATAGATATGTGAAACATTCAATTAACTATGCACTTAAGATTTGTGCAACTTATTGTATATAAAATACATATAAATGTATTTTGCTATATATATAAATTATATATACTGAATATAAATTATACTTCAATAATATAAGAGAAAAACATTAGTAGAGAAGATGTATTATCTTCCAAGACATGCTTCTCTTCTCAAATACTACATTCATCAGAAATAAGTTAATTACCATGCAATTACCTTAGACAATGGATTATATTAGGAATTTGTTACTATATTATGAAGAAAAATATTAGAAAATTCTTGTGGGATATATCCTATAGATGATTGCAGAAAAGTATTTCAGTCATTTATAAGAATTCTTTCCAGAAGGTTTTAATTTAAAGTTTATGTGTGGTCCCACAGCAGTACTATATTTTATAACATGGAAAAGTGTGTAATAAGCACTAATATTTTTTTAGCCTTCCTTTACAAACTGTCAAATGACTGAAGAGATAATGAATGAATAATAATGATTGATTTAGATACTTAATGAGGCATGAGTGGCCTCAGGAACTGGGAGAAGTCAATAATAGAGGTAGGATTTTTCTCACCCTAGGCTCTAGTGACAGTTCTAATCCAGAGACCTTTCCCTTATTTCTTGTTTATGCTTAATCTCATTAGAGTCTTTGGCTTTCACTGCAAGCTGATACCATCATGAAGTTCAGAATACAAAGAGCAAGAGATACAATTTCAGAACTCCTATCAATTCTCAGCTATTTCAGAGTTTCCAAATTCATAGCTAAACAGATATACATTATGAGACTCACAAACGTTTGGTCTTCTAAATTGTTCTTTTTCTATTTTATCAACAACCGTAGGGCTTTACTATATTCTTATGTTGACGTCCAGAGTCAAACCATTGCATATTAAATGGTAGACCATTCTATTTGAACTCCTAAAGTGTGTATGTGGCAAACCAAAGGAAATGAATTAAACTTTAATTACAGTTTATTTGTTGGTTAAAGGGAAAAATTACATTTCTTCCTTATATTATAAAGTAGATTTTGTCCTAATGGACTCCATTATTAAATTTTAAACAAACCTAAAAGGCAATCTACATTAAAATAACCAAAAAAGAGTATTCAATTTGTGGTTAATCAAGCCTCCTAATTTCTCCTTCTCCCATTCTCTCACCTTCTGGTTATCAGCTATTCATTTGATCATTTCACCAAAAGACTATCAGTGAAGGGAAAACAAATATAAGGCATACCAGTCAAAAAATCAATTACTTTGACATTTTGGTGAATAATAAGATAATTTAATTAATTTGTTAATTGACATTTTGTATCATTTATATGATGAAATATTGTTAAATACCTACTTAGCCATAATTAACTATCTGAGTTTGGTGTCTGTTTCTAATTATATTGCCAGTTGGAATTTGTATATGGTTACCACAGAGGCAACTCTTACTTGAGTTATTACCAGTGAGGGAGAAAGGATTAATCTATATGACTGATAGAAGACAACTAGATCTGGACCGAGGCTTTTCAACCTCAGCATTATCAATATGAGGGCTGGATAATTTTTTGTTTTAGGAAACTATGCTGTGCACTATAGACTATTTAGCAGCATCCCTGGCCTCCATCCAGTATATTTCAAAAGTATACCCTTTCCAAACTGTGACAACAAAAAATGTCTCCAGACGTTGCCAAATGTCAGATGGGGGGCAACACTGACCCCAGTCGAGAACCACTGATATATACCAATAACAGGCCTGCTTTTGTACTTTCCACTAGTAAATCTAGTAAATCTGTTGTGGATTTACTCAAAGTATGAATAGGTTAGAGGTAATCCTTCAATGTTGAATGTTGAAGAATCACTCTTCTCTTTTCTCATCCTTGTGTTTTTAATCATTTCTATGGTCAGTGATGCTAACATGACAGCTCTTCATTCTTCTCATTAATTTGCCATCTTTTCTGTCTAATGTAATTATAATCAGAAATATGCATTCAATTATAAAAAACATGATTCTTAATGAAACATAAAAAGTGATATAATATACCTAGACTGTTATTTCATTTTGATTTACCCATAAATAGCATAATGTTTTGCTGTTAGGAAGAAAGATTTAGAAAGTAATAAACTGTTATTATGGTTGGAATATGTCATGCTTCAGAATTAATAAAATATATTTATGTTCTAAGGAAATTAAAACACATATGGGGGAATATTTCTTTTAATATCTCTTTCCAAATCAAAAAGTTTTGACATGGATAACAGTATAGCATCCATAGAAATTGATTTGTATAAATGATCTATGGTCTCATAAACATTTTGCCCCCAAAGTGTTGTGCCAGAATAGGGCCATAAATAAAATCTACAGAGAGGTCATATAGCAGAAGCGTAGGAGACTACATTTCAGGGATCCATTTGTTAGAAACAGCCTTCATTTTAAAATAAATTACAATTAATAAAAGGAAAATACCAAGGAAAGGAAAAAAACCCATTTAAAAAAAAAGTTTTGTCCAGCATTTAGCTATAGATTTAAAACTGACATTTGCTGCCTTATTAAAAAAATTAGTGATCTATATGCAGAGCTATTAAGTGATGTGTAAATGACTCCAGTTATAGCATTTGGAAATGCTTTATAATTTTCCCATTTATTTTTGTACTGTTTCTCAACACAAAGATTACAAAACAATTCATGGGATAATTGTCTAATATTTTGGCAAACACCCACAGTAAAAGAATAGAAGAGCATTTATCGATGACTACTTTAAAAAACCTTTGTTCATTTCCAAAGTTATAATATCTATTAAATACTCATTTTAGTGATTTTTTGGTTACCTTGCCTACCCCAGTACACTGGAAGAATGTGATTCAATTTTTCAACAATAAAGCCTGTGTTGTCGTGAAAGGCTCCCAGCTAACAGCTGTTTATTAATTATCTGCTATACACTTTGCTCTTACGAACGTGTCATATACCGTAGGAGATACAGTGCAACATTTGTAGAACTTTTATTATATGCCAGACATGATACTAAGACCTTTACCTTTTTATCTTATTTAGTGTTCTTCGCAACTTTAAACATAGGTGATAACTGTCCCCGCCCTTAACTTATGGAGAAAGTAAAGCTTTAAAACATACGTAATTAGTAGCAAAGGTGTTATTTGAATACAGGTCTGACAGACTTCAAATTGATCCCCTTAATCATTACTCTGGACTGTAGAATCTGAAACTCTTATTACACTTATAATCTTATTAACCTGTTTAGGAAATTCATTTAGCCAGTATTTAACCTGTTAAGATTTAGTTAAGTAGAATTTGTTTTCATGGTCATGTACAGTGATAATTTTTATAATGTTCTAGAATTACTGCAAAATTCTGAGGTCTTCATAATCCTTATTTTGATGAGGAATGTTATGGAATCAGAGTCCTCCCTTCCATAGTGTATCTATTGGAAGGAAAAGTTTTAGAGCTAACATCTAATATTTTACTAGATATCATATATATCCTAGTATCTGGCTATCTTTCTTGGTCCCAATATTTAATCAGGTTTAATATTTTACATATTGGAATTCTACTTAGCTAAACTACTATTTTTACTAATTGTTAAAATGTTTTCCAATGCTCAGGCTTTTTAAAATTTTATGCTTGATGGGGCGCTTGGGTGGCTCAGTCGGTTAGGCATCTGCCTTCAGCTCAGGTCATGGTCCCTGGGTCCTGGGATCGAGCCCCGCATCGGGCTCCCTGCTCAGCGGGGAGCCTGCTTCTCCCTCTCCCTCTGCTGCTCCCCCTCCCTCTGCTGCTCCCCCTGCTTGTGCTCTCTCACTTTCTGTCAAATAAGTAAATAAAATCTTTAAAAATACTAATACTAATAATAAATAAATATTATGCTTGATTACACATTAGCAATTTCCAGTTGATCCTTTTCATTATTTAACACAACTCACTACCTTATTGTTTCTATTAAAAACATCTACAATATATTTTTTCAAAACTTATAAAACCCTTTGTTCACATG